TAAAATTGCAATTAAAAAAAAAAAAAAAAAAAAAAAGCAAAAAAGAAAAGAAAAGAAATCAAGAAGGGGGCAAATAATTTTTCACAACACTATAGAGGTGATTTAAATACTTAGGCAAAAGAAAATGAGATGCATACTGTAAAAGAAAAAACAAAATACAGGAAACCAGATCCATGATATAATCCTTTATTTTAACCCATGGGATTTCATTTTTACAGTGCATTTCTTTACAACAATAAATCATTAAGTGACAGGTTTTAGCCACCACTACGGATCAGATAACTATGTATGTTACATTTCTGAGCTCCTCAAAGATTTCAGCTTCATAAACACCGTGCAAAAGATTCCAAATATTAGACGATGATAACTACAAAGGTAACGAATCCAGTGATATCTGATTATCCACTGACATTGTTAGCCTCTTGTTATCAAACTCTCAGTTAATCTTTAGTCGTTTCAGTGTTATTAAGCAGCTAGCTATCTGTACCATTAAACATACAGAGAGGTGGCCGATTAGAAACCTGCTGCCATCCATAACAAAGAAATATCCTTTGAAAAGAAAAGAAAAAAAGAGAGAGAGAGACAAAACAAAATATGGCACCATTGTCTCAACAACCAGTAGACAAACATTTTTAAGGGGACTGTTGCCAAACTACCCTTAAAAACAAAAAACTAAGAGCTCTGTTCAGTCCTCAGCATGTGGAGGAGTCAGTCAGATGGACATAGAGCTTTATGTGGACACCAAGCCATTCGACTAGAGGAACATCAGCACAACCCTTCAGTCACATCTTCCAAGCACCTTCAAATGACTCATCTGAAGAAGACTTCACAGAAACCTGCTGCCTCCAACCCTCATTCTGTCCCCGCAAAACCACATCAGTGTGCGCCACACATCCCTCAGAGCGTTGCACCGCGACTATACCAGAGAAAAGCATAGATAAAACACACAACCACATCGACTGTGCACATACAGAACACACTGCAGCAATGAACATGTACACGACCTACCAAATGCACGTTAACATAAACCCAGTCCAGTTATCCATCACATGTTACATTCAGGCTCCGAGAGGACAAAAGAAAACAACAACAGCAAAAAAGATGCAATGGCAAAGTAAACAGCAGATTTCTCCCTTTTGCTCAAGTTTGGTCACAAGTGCCCTCCATTACATGACAGCTAGTAGTGCACAAAATAAGAATACAAAATTAGACTTTTAAATACTGTAGCAGCATTTCTTTTCTTTTAAAGTTGAAAGCCTCCAGTAGTACAGGTACAGGCTTTGGAGTCCCCCGACACGTGGAAGGGTGAGCGATTGTCCTCTGAACTGCGAGACGGTGTCCGTCAGGAGGGTGCAGGTGTTTGGTACTAAAAGGTGTGTGGACAGGTTGGAGATGTGTCTCAGGCGGGGGCACCACTAGAGGACTGAGCCGTGTGGAGGCAGCAGGACGCTGCGGCGCTTAGGCCTAAAAATGTCTTTGACCAACCCCCTCCTCCACCTGCTAGCATGCCTTAGCAATCCCTTCTATTACAGTCTATACGTACATCTCCGTTTTTAAAGCCCAGCGTCCCAAAGAGTAACAACTGCTCCTCATTCCCGCCCCTGCAGCCAAACTACAGCTGATTGGCGGTAAAAACAGCGCACAGCTCATCAGTCCCATACGAGCAGGACAAAGCCGAGGCGACAATGCTTCAGAGGTTTCTCTCAGCTGGAGGCTGTAGCGATGGCCTTCTTAAGCTGCTGGCTACGGATCTCGCGGGTGCGGGACTCGAGGAGCAGGTCGTGGCAGGTGTTGCACACCAACACGGGGTCGTAAAGCTGCTGGTCTGGGATGGGAAGCTTCAGGTGACAACAGTCTTTACAGAACACATTACCACAGTTCCTGAAAATGGAGAACACATGTAACGTTATTAATAGGACAAATAATATTTGATGTGAAGGTTTCTAAGACATTTTAGATACCAAACGTATAAGATTTCAAAATAAAAGATCCTCAGGACCCAGAGAGGGCAAAAATGAAAAGGCTAAATGCAGATTATGGATTGATGAGCAGCACAAACAGCTTTCCGCTTCTTCCTGAAGCACATTTAAAGGTCTTTTCACACATGGCAACTTTACTGCATTCCATCCGTCTCTATTGCATTTGGGAACGGAAACACAAGTCATTGTTTACATACATTATAAATCAGCTGATTCTATTTATTACATGTTGGAAAACTTGCTGTGTTTAAGTTACATAAAAAATGGATCTAACAGTTGAACACATGCCCTGCTCAGAGTGCTGCTCTGCCTGTGAATATGAATTTTCCCCCCTGCCTAAAATGTCTCAGTGGAGCATATAATTAATTCCCCAGTGAGTCAAGAGCCTTTGATGCTGAAACCAAAGCTTGGAAAATGCACAGCAAATTGTCTTTTAAAGGCATGCTGCTGCTTTGGCAGAGTCACTGTGCAACTAAAGAGTGCAGAGAGAAACAGGCATACAAAATAGACAAACACAGCCAGCTTTTAAAAGGAAACACTCAGATCTCTTAGGCAAGTGCTAATCGTGAATCAGCTTCACTTCAAATGCGAAAAAATATTAAGGCTTAAATGTTAAAAAGAATTTGCACAGCATTTGGAAAATGTACTTATTCTTTCTTGTTCAGAGTGAGACGATGAGACTAATCTTGTACTTGATGTTAACCAGCAGCTGCTCAGATTAGCTTAGCACAAAGACTGAAAACCGGCTGAACAGTTTGTCTGGTTTTATTCAAACAGCAACCAAATTTGCCTTCAAAACTGCGCCAGAATAAAAGGAATAGCTGAGCACATAATTGCCCAGTAACACAGCAACAAGATGCTTTCACACTGCTGACAGCTAGCAAAGCTAGCATTAGTTAACCTGAGCTAACAGGCTTATGGCTGAAGCTTCACATTTACTTTCTTAATCTGAGCAAATACGTAAACACAAATATTTCCACACTAATATTAATCTAGTCTAATCTTGGCATTTATCTATTTTTTCCTCCAAGTTTGAGCACTTGTTGGAAAAATTAACAACAAAAAAGAAACACAATGAAGTCTCTACCTGCAGTGGTGACGTCTCTTGGCTATCCAGAACTCACAGTCACAGTTGAAACAATGGGAGGCCATGTGGTCGGGCACCCACCTCGTAACCTACACACAGAGATAGGTATCAGAAAAGTGTGAGACATAGCTCTGCTCCTGGACATGCAAGTGAGAAGTGAGTGGGAACAAGAAAGGAAGCGTGAAGACAGAAGCTCTGTAGGACACTCACCTCAGTGTCCCTGGGCTCTACTCGATCCCAGCTGCCCTCGGACAGACGGTCCTCGCTGTGGGTAGACAGAGAATCTTCCTCATTGCTGTTGTCTGACTCACGCAGACATGTCTAAGGAGAGAACAGAATGAGATCAGAGGATGGATACAAATAAGAACTCTTCTGAAAATAATTGAGAGTAAATACTCTGAAGACAAAGAGAAATGCTTTTAGCTCTTTCAGTAAAGTCTGTGCTTAAAAAGTCACTCACAATGTCATCCTCGTACTCGACGTATGGCTCTGAGGGAGGGGTGCCATACTGTTGACTCTCAAGCCTCATCTGCAGCTGTCGCACCTGCTGTCGCAGCACCTCAACCTCCTGCTTGTAACCCGCCTCGATCTGACGCAATCTCTGCTGCACGGCATCCATCGGCACAGGCAGCCCATCGTCATCCAGGTAAGCCAGGGCCTGGGGAGGTGGTGGCGAGCTGGAAGCTGAGGGTGAGGAATAAGAGGCTGGCAGGAGCTGATGGGCTGCCAGTGAGTAGCTGGTGAGGGCAGCAGGCCCACACAGTCCAGTGTAGCCTGCACTCCTGGTAGGCCATCCAATCTGCAGCGCACTGCTCGGACAACAGAGAGCCTCCCTGCGGCAGCACTGCGAGCCATTGGCAATGGCAAAGCCCTGGGCGCGGAGGAGTTTACTGGCAAGCCGGCGGCTCTGGTGGATGTTGGGGTGCTGGCCCCGGCTGGCACCAGAGGCAGACTGGACCAGACCCTGGACACTCTCCCAGTGGGAGCTGAGCAAGCACAGGTCCGAGAGCTGGCTCTGGGAGATCAGAGGGCGAGCAGTGACCTGGATGCAGTCTACAGGAGCTGCCGCTAACACGCGCTCTCTTCCACTCGCCCCATTTGTCCTCGTGTCCTCCTCCTCCTTCTGGGGTTGAGCTTGTGGCTGAAACTCAGGCTGCTCCTCATCATTCAAAGTATTCTGCGTAAATTCCTGGGTCACTGCGGAGGGCGAGTTGGGGGGATGATCATTCTCACCTGTAAGAGTCTCAGTGGAGTCCCCCATGGGAAGGAGTGGTGTTAGCTGCTTTACAGCCAGCAGGCTCTTTGACTGACTATCAATTTGTCCTTGAAATACAGAGGTTGGTGTGTTGGCTGCAGGTTGAGTGCTTTTGCAGGGCAGAGGTAAGCAGGGCTCTGATTTATGAGTGGGAGATGGTATACTCTCAGCAGTCCTACAAGGGCTCTCAGCCTCCATTGGAGCTTGTTGGAGTGGAGTATCTGTGATCTGATGCAAAGCTTGCATGAGGGCAGGAGTGGAAAAGGCAGTGTGAGCAAGTGTGACATCCTCACTGAGGGGGACAGGTGAGAGGGGCAGGGAAGGCAGGGGCTGCGTAGTGAAACAGGGTCCATCCACAGCCTCTTCAGCACCCACTACACCTGGGACAGCTTCTGGAGTCGGATGCACAGATTGTCCCTCTCCACTGTCCACCGCAGTGTCAGGTATGAGCTCGTTGGAGCCTTCTACAGCGGGTTCTTCCAAAGCAGGTGAGGGCTCCAGTGCAGAGCGACCCTCCTGGCAGTGCTTGTTGAGATTGGGGTCGCTCGACGTTCGTGTCAGGGGCATCCCATTCTCAAAAGCTGACAGAAGGTCATCCATGGAGCGGGTCTTAGGAAGTCTGTAAATCACCAGTACATACAGATCTTATTTTTTAATGTGTATAAAATGCAGTAATACAGTTCTCCATTTTGAACTCTAGAGGGCAGTCTGACTGTTTGCCATAACATTACTAGTCAGACTGCGGCAATAGTATTGTTCAGACAAACAGACCTGTCCAGGGAACGGGAGGTAAGCTCATCTCCTGTGATGGAGGGCGGGAGGTAGAGATCCACAGAATCATCCACAGCAGTGCAGGGGGAGGAGGTGGGCAGGTAGACGGCTGTCCACAACTGTAGTGCCCGAGTATGGCAGACTGGCTGCAGCACCTGGCAGACAAATGCACCGGGAGGATAAGTACATAGTAATGGCGTCTAAGATCCAAACTCTTTGAACGTGCATCAGAAAGGATGGCAGGGAAAGTAGGATAGATTTAATCTTTAATCATACTGAAGTTCAAAATTGGAGTCACATTATCCATTAATCAAAACACTTATTGTGCTCACTGAGATCGTGACTGAAGATTATGATCATTACTATGATCAACTGTTTCCTTCAGCAAGTCACCTCACTGAACACTTTCTGAAAAGCACAGTGGCTTTAAAAGGAAACACTCAGGAAGCAACTTCCAGCTGCAACTATACTAAACTACAGGGTGGGCCATTTATATGGATACACCGTAATAACATGGGAATGGTTGGTGATATTAAAGTCCTGTTTGTGGCACATTAGTATATGTGAGGGGGCAAACTCCTCAAGATGGGTGGTGACCATGGTGGCCATTTAGAAGTCGGCCATCTTGGATACAACTTTTGTTTTTTCAATAGGAAGAGGACCATGTGACACATCAAACTTATTGGTAATGTCACAAGAAAAACAATGGTGTGCTTGGTTTCAACGTAACTTTATTCTTTCATGAGTTATTTACACGTTTCTGACCACTTATAAAATGTGTTCAATGTGCTGCCCATTGTGTTGGATTGTCAAAGCAACCCTCTTCTCCCACTCTTCACACACTGATAGCAACACTGCAGGAGAAATGCCAGCACAGGCATCCAGTATCCGTAGTTTCAGGTGCTGCACATCTCGTATCTTCACACCATAGACAATTGCCTTCAGATGACCCCAAAGATAAAAGTCTAAGGGGGTCAGATCGGGAGACCTTGGGGGCCATTCAACTGGCCCACGACAACCAATCCACTTTCCAGGAAACTGTTCATCTAAATGGCCACCATGGTCACCACCCATCTTGAGGAGTTTGCCCCCTCACATATACTAATGTGCCACAAATAGGACTTTAATATCACCAACCATTCCCATTTTATTACGGTGTATCCATATAAATGGCCCACCCTGTACAAAAGCTGTGAAAACCGGCAGGTACCATGTCATGAGAAGGGATGTAGAGGAAGTTCTGGAAGTTCTTGTTTGCTGTGCGAAGCAGAGACCACACAGAGCAGGTGCGTTTGTAGATATTCTTTGCCTCCCTTTCACGAGCGTTGTTGCACAGAAACGTGCCGTAAAGACACGAGTATGTGTGCTGCACCAACTTGACCTGGACATGTGAAGAAGATGCATCAAGTCAGGCCTTTAATTACAGCACTGATTAACTTTAACTCTCATTGTCGGTGTGTGTGAGACAGCTGACTGATGTGAAACATGACCATGTGACCCAAGACTTTATTCATTAGGCCAAATGTATGGTTTCATGTAATCCTGGCCACTTTTTGAAGTTTAAACAACATTAATGGGTAAGACAGACTAGTATAGAGTGCTGTCCAACCACCCACCAGGAAGGCCTCGTTGAACTCAAACAGGCAGGGGAACTGTTTGAGCAGCTGGTGAACACAATCCAGCCACTGCAGGAAGACGGGACACTGCTCGCTCACATCGTCTGAGTTCTCCTGGTGGCCACAGCGGTCCCCAAACTTATGACCAAAGTCCAGCCATTCCGTCTCTACGAGCACCTGGAAACCCTGTGGATAGCACAGAAGTCAGTACCAAAAGCAACAAGAGAATCCAGCAAAATAAGTGCTTACCATATCTATGAGAATATGCCTGCATGTCATTTAAAAATCAAATACATTAGATTAATACTGAACTGTGCAGATGCTCACCTCTAATGTCCTGTAGTAGGGGTCCAGCAGGACCTTGGCGAGGGCTACAATCTGAGGCGTGCGGTCCCACCCGTCTGAGCAGTGTACCAGGACAGGACGACCGTCCCGCTCGACTGCTGAACATACCAGAGTGGCAGCCTTCAGCATGACCGACAGGTGCTGCAGCCAACGGGTGCTCTCCAGTGCTGAAAGCCAGCTGGAAACACGAGAGGGGGTTGTTTAGGCAACAACTAACCTATATGGAATATGTCATAACTGAGGTAATCTGATACAGCAGGATACAGCATAGATTGGGTTATTTGGGTTAGCTATGACAGAGCAGGGAGGCACCTCTCTGGAGGCCTTTCTGCTTCACTTCACACATTCGATGTAAAATACACACAGCTGACGTATTGAAAACGCATGTAAACATGGGAACAAACGGACAGCCATAACACACATGTGCTGTTGGTTGACGTGTACAGACAGACAGCTGGCAAGCGCAGCAGGAACAGGACTGTGTTCCTGTGCCTGTGTGGTGTTGCCTTACTGTGTGGTGAACCCACTAAAACAGAGAAGGTGGAGGGAGGTGCAAATGAGGCCAGAGCCGCTCAGAGAGAAAGGTCACATAGATCGACTTACTTTCCTGGATCGGGGATCTGACTGCAGACAGCCCTGAGAGCCTGGAAACTGTTCCGGATAGCATGGATGTTGGCCATTCCCATGAACATGACCTCACAGCTGGGGTAGTACTCTGAATACAAACAAACAACAATTTGCTTTCAGTGCAACATTCATAGTCATCTAACAGTGACTGTGTGTAGTCACTGGTAGCAATAACATTGTCCATTTAGTCAAACTGGACTGCACTAAATGTGTTAGCAAGTCACTGTAGAGAGAGGGGATTGTTTCCAGAATGGAAAAACAGCACTTTTTGATCACACATCTGTTTAACAAACTAAACGAAGAACATTTTAAACTTGCTCTGTAAAGGATGATTTCTATAAGACAGGTCTAACAACATGAGCACTGACAAGAATTAAAGTGTGTGCAAAAGCTACAAATCACAACCAATATCCTCTAAACTGCCATCATAGCAGAGCCAATCTGAAAGCCATTAGTTTTAAATATTCAAGCTGATCAAGGAAAAAGTTGAATTATGATATAATTACCCATATACTTGTCCAGCTGGCTTTAGTATTATTCAAATTGTTTCTGATTGTTACATAAGTGATTAAAAAATAATTAAGCTCCATAGAGCTGAGAGGAATTATAAAGTTGGATATTAAAATTATGTTAAGTCACCACAAGCAGGCAATTTTAGAGTACTGAGTAAAAACACCGTTTTACTTCTCACCGAGTTTCCTGTCTGCTTGACTCAGTAGAATCAGACGCCAAATGATACACACACACTCCAGATAAGGTTCACAGATGACAATGTTTCTAGTTTAATTTGACTTTTTGAAGATGGTGCAAAATGTTTTGGGATTATGCCAACCTTCACATTCGCAGCCTCCGCCCTTAGCTCGGTTAGCCACTGCAGCAGTGTATGAGCGAGCATCCAGAATCAGCAGCTTCTGTGTCACAGTGTTGTTATTGCAGCTGGAGCCGCCCGTCAGAGATGAGTCTGGGGAAAGAGAAGATTCTGATCATTATGAGCAGACAGTGTAATGCGAATCGACCTGCCAGGGAAAGGAAGAAAGAGAAAGCGTGAAAGGAGGAGGACGGTGTCAAGAAGGGAAGGGAACATGATTAAGAGAAACTGACTCTATTTGTAACCTACTGAAAATCAATATCTCCTCATGATGAACACCACTGTGTTACCTGGTAAGTCAAGAAGCCTCCTTCCCACAGCTTCTGCAGAGAAAGACGACTGGAACTGAAATACTTCTCTCTGCACCCTTCTCTAATTGTGTTAAAAGCTCTTTTATCACTTTCTGTAATTTGACATATCTGTGTGTTCCTTATAAGTTAATATGGAGGGGGGGAAAGGAAAGCAAAACCACTGAAAAAGACACAAAGAGTTGTTTTTCTGAACTGTGAAAGCTGTGCTGACAGCTGTCCTACTTTCTGTAACTCACAATAATTACAATCCAGCAACACTGATGCATGTACTTTCTGTTAAAAAGGAGAACATCAGCAATGGAAAAAAACAAAAACAAAACACATTCCCAGCCCTGTGAATGCTTGCAAAGCTCTGAAAACACCAGAGTCCCAGCTATTAGCGGCTGTTTACAACCTGGAAATTTAGTGATCTCCTCTCAAAGTTCAAAGTGCTGATTAAAAAGCAGCTAATTAAATTTATGGTGTGCACAATAAAAACGATTCATGTTAATCAGCTACCTTTATACTTTAAATTGGTGATGATGTATTTATGTATTTGCAGGTATTATTGAAAATGCAGTTACATTACAATTTATTATGTGTTGGTTCTCTTGGAAGTAAAAGTTGATAATTAAACAACAGATAAATGCATCTCTTTCTCTCTGGTCAAAGTTTGTGAAAGAAGTCTAGAGTTAGAGAGTGTTTGGCCAGGTTTGCACAGCGTGATCTGCTGTTATGTGTCTGGATGACTGCAGAGAGAGAGAGTCTGTTTCAGATACTCACTACTGGAAGCACTCTGTTTGGTATAGGTGTGTGGGCTGCCTGAGTAGACTGCAATATGATGCGATCACTAGCTGTGACTTTAAGAAAACGAGTGAATTTAGACCCTGGATGGTTTAATTTGACAAACAGGGTCATCGTGTAATGCAGAGATGTGCAAATGGATGAGGAGTGCAAGTATGGACGTGCAAAGAAAATCAAACAGCAAGATTACCAAAATCACCATCGGAAGAGTCAGTAGCTTCCCCGCGTTGTCGATTTGTTTGTGCACCCTTGGTTCCGCTGTCCATCTGACAGGCCTTAGCGATGGACGTAACTAGATACTCATCATCTGTGTTCCTCCAGCCCCACCAGCTAATCTCAGGCTGGCTACAGCGGGCGATCACTGCCCCGTTCTTCTGGTGCCTGGAAACGAAGGTTACAGAGTTAATTAACCTAAAATGATGGATTTTCTTCAGCTTGCACCCATATAAGCTGGAGAAAACATGCACACAAAGTTACCTGTAGACCACCACTGGGATCCTCTTCCAGGATCTAAAAGAAGCCACACTCTCCAGCTCCTTGTCAGTGATCCAGATTGGAATCAGAAGCTTCTGTGGGTAGCTGGAGCACAGCCTACAGGATGAACAGGCAGTTAGAGGTTCTAAAGCATAGGTGTCAAACTCTGGCCCGCAGCCTAATTACATTTGGCCCACGAAGCCATACCAAATTACTATTAGAGCTGGCTTACTGGTATCATACAGCTAATATATATATATTGTTTAGTATTAAGCTTTGCTTGTTCCATATTCAGTTTTTCAGCAAAACTTGTTTGAGTCCATAAGAAAAGATTCATTCTTATATCTGGAGGAAGATTTTTTTTCAATAAATATTAATGTTAGCCCGCGACTTTGTTCCAGTTTTGAATTTTGGCCCACTG